GCCTCCCGGCCTTGCATGGGCGCCCGCCGCCCCGCAGCCCACCGGGCTCCCCGATCGCCTGCCTGGGCCCGGCCAGGCGCTCCTCGCCTCCCGGCCTTGCATGGGCGCCCGCCGCCCCGCAGCCCACCGGGCTCCCCGATCGCCTGCCTGGGCCTGGCCAGGCGCTCCTCGCCTCCCGGCCTTGCATGGGCGCCCGCCGCCCCGCAGCCCACCGGGCTCCCCGATCGCCTGCCTGGGCCCGGCCAGGCGCTGCTCGCCTCCAGGGCGCCGCAGCAGAGAAGGCCTCGTTTGGCCGTGCGCGCGTCATGAGCATGTGCTCGTGTATCCGCTGCAGAACATCCTCCGGTAAAGAGCGATCTCGCCTCCGGCGGGGACCAGCTGCCGCAGTCGCCCTGCACAGCTAGTTTATACGTTTACGCGTTTTGCAGTGGTTGTAGCAGAAAATAGCACAGCAAGGCAAGTAGGATACATCCACTGAAGAGGGAAAACATAACCAGCAGGAAGCATTCGATCGCTTTTTGTACATTGTTATCTTGACCTAGACTTCCTTTTAGGGCATTTGGTATCAAAATATCTGCCTCCACACTTATCTTTACAAATTCTGACCTTGACAGAGGTTTATTTTTCTCTTGCATCTCTCTGCTAGAACACTAAGTAACTGATTCTTGTTTGTTCATCAGGAACGAAACCGCTGTGTTTAGCGTGACTTGTTTCCTTGATTCTGAACTTTCAAAAGCTTATCAATATTTGACCATGTTGCGTTAAGTTCATTTACCCCTTCCTTTTTCTGATGAGTCGTTTGTAAACATGCAAGATCTGCTTTATTTATCATCACTCTTCCTTTTAATTACACTCCCTAGACCTTAAACACTCAGAGTTGTTAGTCTCATAGTTTTAACCATAACCTCTTAAAAACATACATCTTAATTTGTCCTTAGTGTACTTTCTACACCAATATATAGGAAAACAGAAGAAAGGCTGCTACCCACCACATTCCCCACCCTGCTACCCACCCTGATCTCCCCTTCACCCCCACACATATCTAAATCTAATGCTGTTTCATAGTTAATCCTAGTTTAAAAATTAATATTTTATTTAATATTTTAATACGAATCATTAGCACATTAGTAATATTTAATATTGATTGTAATTAAATATTTTAAATTTTTACACGTGATTTACACATCCTAATATAAAGATAAGAGAAATGGAGAGAATGAGTTATATCACATTCTGTTATGCCCACTTTCCAAGAAGCAGATCTTCCTGAAATCATTGGTACTTGCTTCTTTTTCAACTTTGAGAGGGTTGTGCTATGAAGTGCTGCATGGATGTTAGCACTACAGGCCTGGCAGGTGTGAAACAGCTTTGAAACAAGTCAAGGCTGCAATATTTTACGTAATGTTGTAAACCGTCCTGAGACTTAAGTATGGGGCGGTATAGAAAACTTTTAAATAAATAAAATAACCCTCTCTTCTGCCTTTGATGTGAGATATTTCAGAAGAATGGGACAATCCTGAATTCGGTGCTGAGCTGGGCTTTTCCGTGGTTGGTACTTTTCTGATAAATTGCATAAATCTAAAGATCAGGCTTGGGGGATGGACATGCCACACTTAAAGTGGATTGGTTTGCCAGTATGTGGTAAATCTCAACCAGCGTGGATTCACCGAACCGTTTGAAAACAATGATTCATGCTTCACTTTTGCTTGCCTTCAGAATGTGAGTGATTCCTGAGGCCGATATGAATCGCATCACACTTTCTGAGCCACCAGCCGCCTCACCCCCCACGCAGAAGAATGCCCACATCCTTGTGGGTGTAACAGGAAGTGTGGCTGCCTTAAAGTTGCCTCTTCTTGTAGCTGAACTCCTGAAACTACCTGGAGTGAGTAATTGTTACACAGTCAGATCTGAATAACTTTGCACTCTTACTTGCAAAGGGACACTGCTGCTTGCTCTGTTTCAGCAATCTTTGGTGTGACTTGATACTGTTTGCACCGGGCACAAACTCCTCTAATAAGTCTGCAAAGACCATATAGAACCACCATTTTAAGACTGTAACGCACTGCAAGTGGCCCTTGTAATATTTCCATGATCCGCATTGCATGGGTTTTCCAGAAAGCGTTGGCTCTGCAGAGTGCGGTGGCAATTCCGTGGGAATTACAGACTTTGCTATCATCTCTGCAGAGCTGCTTCATGTAGTAATAAATTGTATCTGTAGATGGAGCCATTTGCTAAGGGTAGGTAACCTTGGACAGGGCTTTTCCATCCATCAGTCATGCAGAGCTTAACTAACCCAAGAGAAGCATGTCTGTCTCGGGTGATTTGCATGATCTGTGAATAGATGCCAGGCTGCAGCCCTTGAAAGACCAGCAGTTCATCTGCATCTTTTCTGTTACATATTTAGTCTGTTAGTCACTTGGTGGAAAACATTCTGATCCCCCAAGGCCTACTTCTGGGTGCATAAGTGTTCCTGCAAGTAGCAGGTGGAGGTGTTCTTTCCTATGCGTGAGTGAGTGAGAGCGATGGGGGCAGGGGGCACTGCACTTTTGCATTGTCTGAAACTCCCACTTTTTCACACCTGGTCTGTAAAACTGATAACGTTACAAAGGCCACCGACTAGATAAATAAGGCAGTTTGTTTTGTTTTAGAAGGAAACTTTTATGCGATAGTTGTTGTTGTTGTTGTTGTTGTTATTATTATTATTATAACATTTCTAAGCCGCCCCGAGGTTTCGGCAAGGGGCGGCATACAACATGATAAAATACATTGAAATACAATAGTACATAATAAATTACCATTAAATATAAAAATACAAAAAAATACATTGATTTACAAATACAAAATTAAAATTATCAGTATAAAATAAAAATATAGGAGGAGAAAGAGAAGGAAGAAGAAGTTGCCCCGGCCAGATCATATGTTTTAACAATTGAAATGATGTTTAAATAAAAAGGTCTTTACCTGGCGCCGATAGTTATCATTGCGACTGCTTTCTAAGTGAAACTTTTATGTGATGTCCAGTTGCCTTGCCTTTATGCCCCACCTTCCTTCCCCTTGCAAGAAACAAAAGGTGGCTTAGAGGGTTCTCCTGTCCATTTTGTTCTTACAACAACAACCCTGTGAAGTAGGTTAGGCTGAGGGTCTGTGGTTGGCCCAGAGTAACTCAGTGAGATTCATGGCTGCGTGGGGACTTGAACCCGGATCTCCCAGGTCCCCAGTCCAACAGTAACAGTTCTGGGTGGGGCTGCAGCTCAGTAGTAAAGCACACCCTTTGCTTCTAGAAGCTGCATTGTTCATTTGCGGGCATCTCCAGGTAGGACTGGAGAAACTTGCCCGAGAACACCGGAGGTAACTCCTTATTAAGCGAATATTCCATTTGCTGGTTTGTTTGTGCCTGGCCAGAAAGCATTTAATGACAGGGAGAAACACTCTCAGACTGGTTATAACCTTCATGCATCCATAAAATGGGTGTCAGTCCACAAAAGCTTAAACCCCAAAGTCCCTTAAGGCATTAGCCTTTGTTTGTGTAGACAGAAAAAAGGCCCACAATTTCCGGCATTCTCCAGCCTGCATAGCTAGCAGCTGTTGGCCATTTTTCCTTCCAAACATGCATAGGATTGTGCCTTTAACCTGTAAGGTGCTGCAGGGCTCCTTATTTCATGGACACGTGTGCAAGTCTTTGCTCGAACAGGTGAATGAGCTCCCTGAAGCTGGTGCACACGATGAAGCGTCCAGCTCTTAAATGGCTTGTTTCTGTCTCTCCTTCCTTCCCTTTCCCGCATAGGTGGAAGTTCAGGTTGTGACCACGGAGAATGCAAAGCACTTCTACAATGCTGGCGAGATTCCTGTAGCCCTGCACAGCGATGCAGATGAGTGGCAGGTCAGTGTGTTGGACCCTGGCGGCTGACTTCAGTGATGGCCCAAGGGGAGCTTGTTTGCACCCCAGTTTCCCAAGGGTGTTGCTACGTTCTGCAAAGCCAGCCCGACTTTCTCAGGTTGCAGGATAGTGTCGTGGCATCGGGCTGACTTTGGAGGGGGCGACAGACTCGAATTGTTGCTTTGCTCTGTCTCAGTTCTGCAGTTTCTGGTTTCTCTTCTACATTTTCCGAGATGGTGGTTTCAGACGGGTGTTTCTCTGGGATTGGATTGCTTCATGTAAGTGAGCCGAGCCTCATAAAGTGATTTTGCTGAGCGAGGATCTCTCCCCTGCAGATGTGGAAGGGACGCACGGATCCTGTCCTGCATATAGACTTGAGGCGCTGGGCTGACCTCATGCTGGTGGCTCCGCTGGATGCAAACACCCTGGCCAAGATCGCCAGCGGCCTCTGTGACAACTTACTGGTGAGTTGCCGCAAGCTTCCCCTGATGCCGTCGGAGCGTGTGAGCGCTGCTTGTGCTGCCTTTTGAAGAGCCTCCGTCTCCTGTTCGCTTGAGGCTCAGCGCTCTGCTTTCTCATAGTCCCCTGGGAACGCCTGATGCTCGCTTGGTCTTTTGCAAGAAGCAGAATTCTTTGCATCTCCATCTGCTCTTCCTTCTTCATCTTCTGTTGCTGTTTTTCAAAGAACGCGGCTTCTTAAAATGTGAATGGCTGAGCGTGCATTTAATAGTATGTCCCCCAGGCATAGTTCAGAGTGCTGGGTTTGAACTTTAATATTAGGACAGGCCTGGGCTGGGGCATCTGCAGGGCCACCCTCTCCTTGAATGAACCTGCCTGCTCGTTCGACTCATCAGCTTTCGTGCTCCCGCTCCTGGAGGTGTGTGTACCCAGGACAGTGTCTGCAGTGTCTGCACTCCCAATTCTGGCATCTGCCGCCTCATCTGCATTCAGCGTGTGGCCTGCGTCGCTCGCTTCGAGGCAGCAGTCTGAAATGCTTTTCCTTTTGTTTGCCCGGGTTTTCAAAGACACATGAATGGTGTTAACTCCGTTTTCTGCTTATTTTTTGCTTTCGGATGTTAGAATTTACCCTGGTCTTCTCTCTTTCTCTCTCGCTATTTGTTGAGCCACTGTAAGGCCTGTATTTGCTCAAAAGCTGGAGCGGAAATGTTTTACCTAAATGACAAGTTCTGGAACTCTCACACACATCCAAGGGAGAGTCTGGTGATGCAGGGAATGAGAGAAACTGGACTGAGGGGCAGCCTGTGGCAGGAGTCTCTCTTCCCAGCTGTCTCTCTTCCCAGAAACCTCCCTGGAGGGGAGCTCTTTGGACGAGGCCTGTACCCAAGAGGAATCCTCCCCCGAACAGCCCTGCAGCTTAGGAGGTCTGCTCCCCCACCCACAATCACAATCACACAGCGGTGGCATTTCAGTTTCTCGTCTGCGGCAGGACTCTTCCACGCTTGCGTTCCGCTCCGGAGCAACAGCCCCCACGTCCCTGGCAGCCCCGTCTCCGAGTGATCCCTCTCTGGTCCTGCTTGCGTTCTGCCTTGCTCGGACCTTTGGCCAGTGCCCTTTTGGCAAAGGACAGTTCACGGGCAGCATCCAGCATCGTTCCGCACGCGCCCACGCTGCTGAGCTCGCCTGCGTGTGGTTCAGAGCCCGCGTTGCAAGGAGAATCCAGTTTTGTGCGCGTGCATAACTGTCTGTGCATTCTGCTTGCACAGTCTGTTGTTGTGCCGGGGCTGCCTGCACGGTGGAATGTGTCGGCCGAGCTCAGCGAATGCCGCTTCCCTTTGCAAACGGCGCTGCTGGAGACCGCCCAGCGACTGCACTTGGGCCAGTGATCTTTGCGCTCGCCCCTTTTCAGCCGTTTCCGGCTTGTGCAGGATGGGGATGGGGGGTTCTCACCCCTGTGGCTGGCCTTTGTTCCCTTCTCAGACGTGCGTCGTCCGTGCCTGGGACCTGAGCAAGCCGCTGCTCTTCTGCCCCGCCATGAACACGGCCATGTGGGAGCACCCCATCTCTGCACAGCAGGTGCGGCAGCTCAAGGGCTTTGGCTACCTGGAGATCCCGTGTATCGTGAAGAAGCTCGTTTGTGGCGATGAAGGTTAGTCGCTGGCCGGCTGCCTGCTGTCTCACCTGTAGCGGTGATTATGGGATGGGAGACCAGGCGCAGCCCTTCCTGCAGGCAGCTTCTCATGTGGCGTTTCAAAGGCACGGCTGAGCGTTCTTGAGTCACTCCTATCTCATCTTCTGCACACCTGCAGAGCCTTGTGTGGTTTTAATGGTCTTCCTCTGGAAGTGTGCAGCATTTAACACGCGGTCCTGTCTGTTTCTACGCAGAAGCAGTTGCTTCCATGCCACTTGCTGGTGGTGGTTCTGTGCTGTCAAGTTGTCCCTGGGTTACGGCGACCCCATGAAGGGAAGCCCTCCCCAGTGCCCGGCCCACGGCAGTCCCGTTCAGCACTTCCGAATTCAAGGCCGCGGCTCGCTAGGTGGCTTCAGCCTTCCATAGGATTGAGGCGGAACTGAGTGTCGTCATGTTGCCTGAAACCAGTTGTGCTAACAAGCCATGCTGTGTTGTTGGGTTGTGAGCTGTGGCCACCACATAGTTGGGCTCTTCCCTCTGGGGGTAGTCAGGCAGGTCCACCCTCAGAGAGGGAGATCCGACCTGAGACACTCCCTCCCCAGCCCTGCAGAAATACCTTCGGCGGAGGCAGGACGGGGGTGGATCACGGGCGGATCCAAAGCCCTTCTGGGTGTCAGGCACGGCAGCAGCATCGTGTCCCTGCCCTGAAAACGATAGGACGCGATGGACGGAGAGAAGGAAGGAAGGGTAACGCAGTCCCCTCCGCCCTGCCAGCATGATGGAGCAGGGCTTTGGGCACGGGGGTGCAGCTGCCGTTGGATCTTCCTTCCCCTGGCCCTTCCTGCTCAGAGGATTGCTCCGTCAGTCCGTTAACTGCGAAACACACGGAGAGGACGGAGGGACCGTCGCTCAGTGGCTTTGCATCGGAGGGTCCCAGCCTCAGTCCCCAGTGGTCTCTCTCGGTAAGGCTAGGAAGGGACCCTTCTGAAACCCCAGAGGGCAGCTGCCAGTCAGTGTGCTCAGTACTGGGCTAGATAGCCAGAAGGTCTAAGGCTGTTTCTTACATTCCAGTAGGTTAAGAGATCCTGAATTGCCCGATAGTCCTAGTTGGGCGCCCTTGGCCCACTTGGGAAGATAAGCTCTGAAAACTTAATGTTATAAAGCAAAGACAGACTTTCTTCCCCCGCTCCTCTGTCTTATTCCTGGATGCCGAGAGCCAGCCTCAAAGGAATTGATCTTGGAAAGCTTCAAGAAGATGCGCAGACTTACTGGCAGGGAGAAGTGCTGGAATTTGTGGGGGAAGTCTCACGCCCCCTTAAACAGAAACTGTTGACGGCTCCTGCATTAGATGCACAGCAGCTCAGCCAAGTGCAGAGACGCGCCTGCAGAAAGAGAGCGCTGGGGGCCAAGCAGGGTGGAATACGGCCGTGCAGACCGCCAAGGCAAAGGGAGGTGGGTCGAAACAGTGGCGGAGCCAACCCGGGTAGGCGTGACTCTCCTCGGAGGTGAAGAATAGCATGCCCGCACCAGAAGCTGCCCTCCTCTCGTGGGCGAGGCGTTCCCCTTTCCACGGGGGCTCGAGGCTGATCCTGTCTGAAGTGCCCGGTTTTGGGCGATGGGCTGCGTGGACGTTAGGATCACCGTCCAGACGTCTGTCTGCCGTGCGGCTTGGCGCCGGCGCAGGGCAGGGACGGCAGAGGGAGGAGTCGTGGCCGGTCTTTCCCGCAGGAGGCGGGGCGAGTGCTCCTCGTGGATGTGCTGGCGAACCTGCGTGTGCTCTGACTGCACAGGTCGTGGCGCCATGGCAGAAGTGCCGATCATCGTGGAGAAAGTGAGGGCGGTCCTGCTGGAACGAGGCCTGCTGGACCAGAGCTGATCCCCCACCACATCCCCCCCCCGCTCCTCCTGGAGAGTTTTTGGGCTGCGGACGGAAGGAAGAGGTAGACAGAAGGAGCAAAGCCTGCAGGACCGAACCTTGGCCCAGCCCCGTGCGGAGAACTTCCTGCAGCTGACGGTGGACGCAGTGCAGCTGTGGGGGGGGGCGTCGGGCAGCCCCGGCTTTTGTTCCTGCCTGCAATGAGAGTGGAGGCTGCCATGGAGTTTGCTGGTGGGTATTCCAGAACCGCCTCGTGATCGATTGAACGAGAAGGATGCCGAGATTCCCTGCTAAAGTTCTGTCCCCCACTAGGCAACCGACGGATCCCAAGGGAAGGGCCAGCCCTCCACCGCGCACGGCCAGAGCAGTAGTTGCAGCTTCCACCTCACTTTCTGAGGGGTGCAAGAAGAGCCGGAGTAGAGCAGTCTGTCGTGGGCTCCAGAGAGTGGGGGGCAGAGCCCCTTCATGCTGCGGCTGCCCCAGAGAGCAGGGGAAGAGCGTAGGGTCCCAGCGGGCCAGGCACGAGGAAAGGGGCTGATCGTGGGGTGGAGTTGGCGGGCACAGCAGATTCCGGCTGTGCCTTTCTGCTTCAGCTGATGAGGGAAAAGTCAAGGGAATAGCTGCAAATCTTTGGAACCGTTTCCTTGTTGTGGCCTCTGTGCCTTGGATCTTGCCGAGGATTAGGCCGGGCCTCTCGCAGAAGGGAGGTGGGGAGAGGTTCCGCCCGGCCCCTTCTTTCGTTACCCTTTGCTCTGCCCTGCTGCTGATGCCTAGGAGGGCTGACCTCAGAGAGCAGAGGAGTAAACAGCACGCTCTGCGGGAGAGGTCTCCTTAGGTCTTGCGGCTACAACCGCGTGGTGTTCTTGGCGCGCGGATCTGGGGCCAGCGGCGCAGGAGGTCAGGAGGTCTGGGAACGCTTTTGCAGAGACACGGATAACCTCTCCGAAAACCATCGCGATTGAAGATTAACAGCTCCTTACGCAGGAACCGGGAAAGTGACCTCCGCTCTCTGGGGCTGAGTTATGAGCCTGCCAGCTGGCTCCTTTGATCCCTGCACTGAGGCAGCGGTCAGGCGGGGTCGGTGCTGCCGCAGAAGCAAAGCATCCTGCTCGCTCGCCCGCCTGCCTGCCTGCCTGCTCATCTGTTCATTCGATCGTTCGGTGAGACCGGCCACCGTGCACAGAAAGGCCCTCCTGGTCCCAGCGTTCCGTCTTGCATGCAGGGGGACCCTGGAACTGCTGAGCCCAAGGGCAGCGCTGCACCCCGACTGCTCCCCTGCAAATAGAAGGCGCCCTTGGCTTTCCACGTCTCGCTCCCTTCATCGCGGGGCCGCTGCAGCAGGGCAGGGCAGGGCAGGGCAGGGCAGGGTGCTGGGAATGAGAGCGCTGCTGCCAGTCAGAGTCCGCAGGCAGAGATACCCCGGTGTGTCCCACTTAGGTGCGAGTTGGATTAACTCCCCAGCTCCCAGAAGGAATCCAGGCACTGGACGGTGGGTGTGCTCGTCCCCTCGTGCGTTATTCCTCTCTCTGGGCCAGTCTTTCCCCAGCCTGGCACCTTCAAGGTGTATTGGCCCAGAATCCCCGTAATCCACAGGGGCCACACTCTCTCAGGATGATGGAGGTGTCAGGTTCAGGGGAGTCTGCTTTGTAATACGAGGTAGAAAACATGCAACATGCCGTGGTCTTGCTGTGTTTTCATCACGGAAGGGGAAACGAAGCAACTTTAGGAGACGCTGCCTTGAAAGCAGGTCGGTTTTGAATTGGAGCCTGGTATAGGAGAAAGTCCCCTCTTCCCGGAGCTGCAGCTGCTGCTCTTACCAAGGTCACAATTCTCCCATGGTGGTTCTTATTTATACTTTATTATATTTAGAGCCTGCCTTTTCTTCTGCAAGGAGCCCATGGCAGCTGGCGTCACCCTCCTGCTCCTCCCCTTTTCCGCACCACAACATCCCTGTGAGGCAGGTTAGGCTGGGAGTCCACCTCTGGCCCCAAGATCCCCCAGTGAATGGCTTGGTCAAGTGGGGACTAGATTCTGGATCACGTGGTATCGCCCCTGCTCCCAGCATGCATCCCCTGGAGAGCTACTTCATCTCCCATGGGCCACTCTTACCTCTGTCCCCACAGAGTGCTGAGTTCCTCTTGGAAGGTGGAACTGGGGAGAGGAGATACCTGAAAGCGTTTCTGTTGTCTGACCTGAATAAAGACAGACAGACAGACCCAGAAGCCGTTTCTGGACCAGCTGGGCTACTACTGGCTGGTGTGTGTGTGTGTGTGTGTGTGTGTGTGTGTGTGTTGGGTGGGGCAAATGTAGCAGCACCTTTAGAGGGGGGCTTCGGAACACCTGCTTTTCATGTAGAAAGTCCTTCCCCAGGTTTATGCAGTACGTCGCACCTGATAAGAGAGAGCTGTTGCACTGAGAGGCCGGGGGGTCACTGCCAGCCAGAGCGGCACTGCGTGGGTGGCCAGGCAGCTTCTGAGGTGCCCTGTGTTTCCCGGTTCTGTGTTTCCCGCTGCCTCGCCACGGCTGGAGACCGTTTGCCCCTGAGGTTAGAGGGCGAGGGTGTTTTTATAGGGTGGTGCACCGAAGCTCGGGTACAGGAAGGTCATGCTGGCAAACATCAACCCTGCATGCAAGCAGTCAGCAAACTGTCCTTGGAGATTGTCGGCAGGCTGCGCTGCGCTTTTATAAATATTGACAGATATTTGCAGGCCTTCCGAGGCAAGGCCAAGCAGATAAACGTCTGGGGAGCAGCGCTGTGGTCCCGAAGCTGCACGGATCCGCACACCTTCCCTCCGGGAGTGCTGGCCGGCTGAGAGGCCTGGGTTTCCCACAGAGCAGGCCTGGGGATCTGTGAAGCAAAGGTGCACACCGTTCCTGCGTCTGCCATGCCCGAGAGGAGCTGCACTGGTCCACAGCTGCGGTAATGTGCCGCTGGTCTGAATCCTGGTGTGCCAAACCTCCAGGCTGCCAGCCCTGTTTGGCCCGGTGCTGGTCCCCCCCCGGCCTGCGCAGCACGTTCCCCCCCAGACCCTCCCTCCTCCCACGAACAGCATTCCAGGACTCGAATCCCAGATGAGTTTCTTGGGAACCCTCGTTGCGACAGCCCTGGATTATCGCGGAGAAAAAGCAGGGGCCTGTGTCTATAAAAACGTTCATTCAAGGTGCCTGGCCATACCTAGATCAACCCCGGGTGGCTTGGGACTGCAGTGTGCACAGGACTGTCTCTCAGCTGCAGTCTACCTGGATGCTGCATCCAGTGTTGGAGGCCTTCCCTGGCGGCAAAAAGCTACTGGCCTTTCTCTGCCTCAGGCCCCCACGTTTAAGAAACAGTCTCCCCACGGAGACCCACCTGGCACCAACTCTTGCCCTCTTGGCCCAGGTCAGGTTGCCCTCTACGCAGAGGCATTTAACAGGCCGATGGGGGGGCGGGTGTTAGCTGCTTTTCATAGCCTGTCTTATTCAAGTCATTTAAGCTTTTAAATGCGTGCTACTTTATGACGTTTGTATAGTTGTATGCATTGTATAATGTTACTAATTTTATGAGTCGCTGTGAACCATCCAGATCACCTTCGCCATTGGGCAGTGTAGTGATCATCATCATCTTTATTAGGGTCATTATTAGTAATCGTGATTTCCAAACACAGAATTAAGCAAAACGCATCCAGTGTCAATTTACGTGTTGGCAGAGTGTTCCCCTGGGGAAGTCAGGAGGGCTGGATGTAGCCCCTGGGCCCCCGGTTCCCCACTCCTGCTTGCCAGACGGGCCTTCCTGAGAATGCCAGTTTCTGCAGGACCAACCAGGAGCTGCTAGAATCATGCCCAGCTGGTGGGCTTCCCAGTGGCTAACCCCCGGTTGACGTTTGGTTGGAAAAACCAGTAAAAAGTAATACCCTTTTTTTTCCAAGACTTGGACCAGCTCAGTTGATTTTCTTCCTTTGAATCGGCAAAGAGCTCCGATCGTTTTCCCTTCCTCTCGGCTTTGTATGCGAAGTGTAATTTGTTAGCTACGGCTGAAGGGCACTAAGTGCAATTAAAACCGTTCCCTGCATCCAGGCCTGGTGCTGTTACAACACAGAGTGCTCAGAGTTTTGACTGAGGCTGAGCGGGTACATCTGTCCACAGCCCGGGCTGATAAATATGGTTGGTGACTGAGACAGCACCCAGGGTCTTAAACAAGGATGGAAGAATAAAGAGGGTGGTCCTACGTTTTGCCTTGCCAGTGGCTAGTTGCGTTGGCATCCAGCTCACAAGGGTTGGCATAATCTGTGACTGGACAGATGTATGGACATTTTGCTCGGTCTTCCACAACAATTCCTGACGCCTACATCTTATATATAAAATACATAGGGATGCACATTGCACACATATCTATCGTATGGAACACAGTCAAATCATTTGTAAGAAAACTAACAGTTTATTGAGGGATGCTTTTTAATTTATTGCGATTCATGGGGGAGGGAGGGGCTCAATTCACAGTTCACAACCCTATTTGTAAGCAATTCTTCAGATGCTTGTTGCCACACGCACACAGATGAGAGAAGGTCCTTGTGGCCCAAACCAAGATGGATGGCAAAACGAACGGCTCTACGAGGAAGAACCGGGCCTTGTGGCTAGGAAAGGAAGTCAAGAGAGGAATCAAAGCTGAAGCTGAAGCTCCAGGCCCTCTCTTTTTGGGAGCAAGCGTCACTGAACCTGGTGTGACCTAATGCTGTGTAAGCGTGTTGCCAAACGTTAAGTGACAGATTGCACAAGCCCCATGCTGGGTGTCCTGGGAGGAAGTGACAAGGCTGCGATTCCTGTTGACATCAGAGCCCAGAATCCGAGGGGGCCACTCTGGACACTCTCACCCCCTGAAATCCTGCTGCCGGGGCTTTCGCCTTCCCCCCAGCTTTTTGCGTTACGAATTATTCCCTGCATCGGGTGTGCTTTCCTCGTGCAGAGGAAGGCAGGCCAGTGCTGGTGGATCAGCCTCTTCTCATCGAAGACTGCGGAACGTTCGCACAAACACCAGAGGAGCCGGCCCTCCCCTTTGCAGTGCTGAGAAACATAACCATCATCATTTTGTCTGGTGCTGTTGAAAACGGAAGGAATGGCCCGTCTTCCCCTTTTGTCTGACGGGGACTCCCCTCAGCAGACCCTGGCTGCTTCTGGGAAGCCATATTTTAAGTCGGTCTTGTGCAACAGCAGAAAGGATCTACCCCCCCCTGCCCTTCCGCCTTGACAGGGAGCACTTAATTTGGTCCTTAAGTCGGCAGCTGCTTCACTTGCAAGCCTCTGCTGCAATAAGGGAGAGCCCTCCACAAAAAGCACCTTTCTCGCATCCACCCTAAGATCAGCGGGAGGACAAGAGCCTGCGATGATAAAACGCTGCCGTGCGGAGCACTCGCGGGGGTGAGGATTCCAGCCATCCTGCTCTGCTCCCCCCCCCGTTTTTCTCTACCTGTCCTCAGGTTTGAGAGTGGCCATGTGCACGCCTGTGAATTCTGGAGCTCTGTGTACTGGGTTTCTGAACCCTCCAATTTGTATTCTGTTTCAAGGCTCGGTCCTGGGGGCCGATTAATTGCAGGTACGCGTTGGCTGCCTGGCAGGGGCAATTAGAGGCAGAGCTCTCCACCCCTCTCCTGGCCTTATGGGACGCGCTATTATTTTCCCCGAAGAATTACCAGCTCGCCTTGCTTCCCAGAAGGCAAAGCAACTGGCTCTTGGTATTTCATCAGCCATTCATCCCTAAGAAACTTGCAGTAAAAAAAAGCCATTTTCATGACGCCGCCACTCAGCCCTATCTCTCCCTTTGCTGGCTTCTGCAGGAGGTATTCCTTCATATTCCGGGGGAAAGTTTGGCTTCTGGTTACAGCAGCCGGCAGCCAGAATGCAAAATCCTGCAAAGTAAAGGCAGAAGGACGGACTAAACCGTCAGCGAAGGAATTGCACAGGAGAATGCAAACCAACAATTTTAAGTTAAAAGACGGAAGGGGCACCGTGGATGCTCTTTCTAAACCCAGTAAATAGTCATTGATTCTGGAACCAAATTTTAGTAACAGGATTGATTTTGTATGACCAATAAATGACTTTCTTTCACTGATGGGGTTTTACTCAGAAGAAAAGAAAACCATGGTGAGACCTTGACCAGGGGGTTCTTTGAGGATCTCGGGGTGGGGGTTAGAGGAGAGAGAGCTGAGGACAAGAAGCATTCTCTAAGGCACCCTAAAGGGATTTTTAAAGGGCTTTAACGGTTAGCAGCAATATTGTGTCTGGAATGAAAGTGGGAGACGACGCTGCTTTTTCGACACCAGTGGAGCACCTCCTCCTCGGCTTCCTTCTGCTCAGGGCCAGCTGGATCTTATCTGAGTTGCTTCCAAGACACATCGTTGCAGGGGTAACCCGGCTGGGCGATTTCCAAGGCATGCATCGCCACGGCCAAGTCGACCTTCCTCGGGGATGGTCACAGCGAGTGCAGCAGTGGGAAAGCACGGACCTGCTTTGCACGCAGAAGGTCCAAAGTTCCATCCTGGCATCTCCAGGGATCCAGGGGCAGTCGAGTAGGCAGCACTGGGAGAAACAGAGATGGCTTCCCCTCGAGAGCCAGGTGGTGCATTCAGGTAGTTCAGCTAGGACCAGGAAGACCCAAGCTCTGATCCCCATCTGAGCACGAAACTCACTGGGTTGCCCTGAACCAAGCACTCTCGGAGCCGAGACGGCCCTGTGGGCTCGTTGTGCAGACAAATGAAGGGGTAGGTATCAAATGCTTTGCCATGATCTCCCTGGGGGAAGGTAGGACAGAATGTGTTATGTATGAAAAATCAACACAAATTGGATGCCACCTCCCCCCTGGCAGTCTAATGGCAGAAACTCATCCAGGAGTACTACCCTCCCCAAGCGTGAACCCCCCCCCCAACCCCCCCCTTGCTTCTCTTTAAGGAGAGGCAAATCAGTCCATTTTCCTCTCCAGCAGTTCATTTTTTAAAATCTTAGATTCTTTCCCGAATAAGAAATGCTTCACGAAATTCGGTGATTCCTTATTGAAACAAACTGCAAGGACATTCTCACCCATCCTCCCCAGCAGGAACTGATGCGTTCAAGGAGGAGAGGGGCTGCCAAGTAGCAAGCAAGGTGAGGAGCTGGTCTGTGGGGGAAGCGGAAAAGGAGAGGGACATCCCTAGGCAAGCACTAGCTGAGTTGGATTTTCGGGGAGTCATACCCAGACTTTGAAGAGCAAAGCTCTCAAAGCCCTGCACTTGGGTGGATAAAACCGTCAGTTTTGGGTTTTCCCACTATGAGTTGTTTTTTTTTAATAATCTCAAAGTTTGTCAGAAGTATGGAGAATTTTGCAGATTTGGTAAATTCATATCGGAACAGCTGAAATGAAAACAGTTGCTCATCCATTCCTGGCATATTTTTGCTTACAGCTCTTGTTGCATGTAAATGAGTAGTACAGGCTTTCTGGCTTTCTAGAGTAGGGGGAAGTCTGCCGAGGCTGAGAAAGCACCCAATGAGTGGCTTTCAGGAGAAAAAGGGAAGGCCAGATATGGGTCTGCGGGCTTCCAGGCAGCCTCTGAAGGCCCAGGTTTGGTCTGTAGACCTGACAGTTAACACACTGGTCCTCAAGAACTGAGGAAAAGCTTCGTATGCTCCAGATGTCATTGGAAAAGTGAAAGAAACAGCCACAAAATAAAAGCGCCCGGGAGTGGGGTGGGGGCAGCATCCAAGATCTTCGCTTGAGAGAATTTTAATTGCTCAGCACAGCAAGAAAATAGCAGGCCCCCTGCTGGGCCAACTGGCTTGGAAGCCCTCCAGCATGGATGGTGTTTACCTGCTCAGGTTTAGGGACCTGCAAGCATTAATTCTTGTTTTAATTGGCTGTTTGTTTACACGGCTGGGTAACTCCGTGGTCGTTTTTGCCTTGGTGGCTCTAAGGACCACGCTAAAATCAGGTGGGCGGAGTCTGGCATCAGCTGGGGGTGTCTTTGTTGTCGGGGTCTGCTGCGGGAGGGTTTGTTTCAGGGATGGAAATTACAGCACTGAAAGACCACCTGCCACCTGCCTAGAATTCAGCGAAGGATGGCATTTGTTTCTTCAAAGTATCTGTCATCCTAGTTTTACACTCATGCGGATCCTCACGGCTCGCAAGAGTAGCACTAACCCACAAGAAACTTTAGTCAAGCTGCTAGTAGGCACCCAGACTTGGTTACAGATGAAATTTCAGTCTGGAACTTGCACCTTCCTTTTGGAAAGGCTTTGGAGCTCAGCGAGGGCGGTGGAGAAAACCTCTTCCGTGTGTGCGTCCCCCGTCAGGCACTGATAACCAGGTAACAGGATATCAAACCAAATGGTCGGGTACTTCCCAGACCAAAAGCAAACTGAAGCAAGAGTAGCCATGTTGGTCTGATGCCTGAAAGCAAGAAATTGATTAGATATCCTGGACCAAGCAAGTCCACAAATGAGGTGTCAGCATTGAAAGGTTGCTGCCCCCTTTCTTACCTGTTCTTCCTCTACAAAATACTTTATGAGACAGAAATGCATCCATTTAAAAAAAATGCACACAATTGGCACATATTTCAAGATGCATGCATGAACATTCCCGCATTTTGTGCAGAAAGAAGACTGTATTTTGTGAAACAGACATGAGATGGAAGCAACTTTATGATGGAACTCCGAGAACATCGGCTAGTTTACTGATTTGCCTGTTCCTAGCCTGAAAAGGCTCGGTGAAGTTGGAGAGGCAGCGACAGTGTAGATATAATCCAGGGAGAGACTTCTGACATGCCCATGGGTTTTGGTATACCCAGGATGACTCTGGACTTCTTTTCTTGCAACCCGAGGGATGCCATGTCACATTGCAAAGAACTTTTCAAGCTCTGACGAGTCTCTGGCGTATGCTGGTGTCCCTTGAGCTGCCTGCGTGCAAAGCCTTTCAGGACAAACAGAGCTTGTTTCTCAGCTGGCCGTGCTTCCTGATTTCCCCTCCCCTCGACGAGTGAGCCGCGTCTGAACCACACCTTTCCTTTCCTTTTTTTTCTGGCAAAAGAGCTTCATTGCAGCTCTTGAATCATCAGCCTCTCCCAAAGGAAACTGCACGCTGGTTTTTGCTTGTGCGGCCGACGTGGATGCCGGGCCCACTCCGAGCGGCCGAATGCAGCTTTCCATGTGGCTGCAAACACACTTTCCTCTGTGGCCACTCGCCGCGCGTGCCTAGGGCTGGCCCTCGCTCGAGCTCCCCGCCCTAGCAGGTGTCGGTCATGTCTTCACGGTGCGGAAGTGCCACTCGCTGCTGCTTTCATGGGCCGCAGAGCAGAGTGTGAGCCTTAAAAGTAGCTATCCAGTCCGTGAACAGGAAGGTCAAGAGAATTCGCCACCATCTGAACCGACCGATCAATGGAGGGAGGCCTCCAACAGCAGCGTCCTCCTTGAAGTCTCGGGGCAGCGGCAGCAGGAGTGAGATGCCTGTGGAAGGGAGTTCCAAAACATACGGACTGATGCCATAATCACAAAGACCTTGTCCATATACCCACTGACTCAGGCTTTGCTCTTGGCACACTTTCCTGGGTGTAAACCCCAGTGAGCATAGCTAGGGTTACTTCTGGGTAAACATGCCCCTGATCGTATGGTTAATCACATCTGTAGATGTCAGTGGGCAGGCAAGATCTTATGGGATCCAGCTTACCACAGATCCCAATTCCTTCATCCCACAAGCTGTAGTGGACTTGCTCATCCGTTAGTTTCACAGAATCTCAAAGGATGAAGATTAGTATCTTTAACATGACCTGCTCGCACTGTGAGTTCCCTACAGGCTAAGCTTCTTTTATCAAAATGGGCCAGTTGTATGCTGGAGCAGACTGACTTCTACAGTACAATATGTGTGTAATCTGAAATCCATTAAATAGAATGAGATTAACTCCCAGGTAAGTGTGCAGAGGAATGCAGTGCTACTCATGTTTGACTCTTATCCAAGAGTTAAGCAATACTCAGTGTGATAAATTGGGTTGCACAGTGTCACATGAATTTGAATTCTATATAATCTCAGAAGGTTCTCCAAAAGACAACTGGTCCACAAACTAAACATTCCGTTTACTGGTACTTGGAAAGAGATGTGTAACTCAGAAATGGAAAACATCATTTGCACTACAGACTTCAGACAGGTTTAAGAAAATACAGGAAATTGCTTCATTAACACTTTACAAGAATTGGACAGGTTTGCAGAGAAATGGTCGCGTGTTTATTAATGTCTAGAGTTATCGTGTCGTCGATGAAGTGCGAACATCTTTTTTCCCGGTGCTGTAGCAGAACTTAGTCGTAACGTAGGTTCCTGGACGCCATTTTCTGAAAATGTAAATTCATTGTTACATCTTAGCTCCTTTAACCACCATAAATGTTTACAATATGTAAATTGGTTTCATAAACTTGCCGACTCAGCACCTGCTCAGCTTTACTGAACAAAAGGAAACCAGTTCTAGTTTCAATTGCCAAGCAAAAATCAAGCAAGAGAGGTCTGGCCCTCTTCTCCTTTGTGTCAGCTGCTCTGGCTCCATCCGTATCGAGGGGGAAGCGGGCATGCAGTTGGGCATTTGGTTGCCCACCCCAGGCTTCATCCTGCCCTATCCAAAAACCTTTCAAGTGCAGATGCCTTGCCACAGCCAGAGCATCTGTTTTCTGCAGCCAGCCCGTTTCGCAATCTTGCTGCAAAGACCGACTGGTGGCAGGTTGTGGCTAGCAGCCTCTTGTGTAAGTGACTAGATAAGAATCTGCTCTACGCTTGCTTGACCTCAGCCCTTACGCAACCACGTGGATTTCTTTCCATCGAGGAGCCGTGCCCGCTCCTGTGCAGCCAGGGCCATGGGCAACCTCCTTGACCGTTCATGCTGCTCAGGAGTGGCCGTCCTGCTCAAGGCTGAGCCTGGGGGAGGAATGGAAGCAAAGCATCTTGGGTCGGAACAGTCCTCCTCCCAGTGAACTGTTTTTGGAGAATTCTCTGGGTTCATGGAACCCCAGCCAGCAGCTACCTCGTCGAACCCAGGCCTCCTTTTGTGTATGTCTGAGCTTCACCCTCCTGGAAGGGTCCTCTTGGAAGCGAACTTGCCTCC